GGTGGAAGCGACGGTGGGACGGTCTGTCGCCCCGGTGCCGACTCCCCAGGGAGAGGTGGCGCCTCCAGGGAAGTACAGGAGGGGGCGGCTGCTCCTCCAGCCGGTTCTCCCCAGCGCTGTCCTCTCCCTCCTCTCCCGGGCTCCGGGCCAAGCTGTCCGACTCGGTCAGACCTGGAAACATCGCCATGTCAGCCACACCAGGCCGGTCGTCCTCTTCCTCCGGAAGAGCAGCCCTTTCTTCCTCACTTAGCAGCTCCTCTGCAATAGAAAGGCGGAGTGGGCTTACTAGACCTGGCATTCAAAAGGCAAGCCTGGGAAAACAGCCTCGTTGGGAAGAGCGAGGGCCAAGGAGGAAGGCGCCCTCCCCTCTGCCTCTCTGCCTTTTAGACTCTGCCCCCGCTCCCTCTCGGGAAAAGCCTAAAACACAGCACTCTCTCCCTCACTTTGGGGACCCCACCCACCGTACCCTACATGCTGCCTAGCAGAGCCCGTAAAGGCTGCAGAAGGGGCTTGGTGAGACCCAGATCTCCAGAAATAAGGTTGGCTCGTCCAAGAGCTATCCGTGCCTCTTAAGGGTCTAGCTTCAAAAGACAAACTAGTCTGGCCAGCCACACACACACACACACACACACACACACACACACACACGACAACAGACTAAAGAGTCTAAAAGTCTCTGTATTTATCTTTTAAACACATTTGGTCAGTCTGGAACAGCTGAAGGTGGAAGAACAAACTGAACTCACCTTTTCAGGACATGAGGATGACGGGAGAGAGGGAGTGGGGACAGGAAGAGAACATGGATCCCAGAGCTGTGGAGCCCAGGTTGGAGGCTGGGCCAGGACACACACACGCCTGTCAGCCTCTGGCTGCTTTATCCCTAAGCACAGGGAACTCAAAGTTCCCGGGACAAAGAAGGCCACATGAGTGTGTGCGCCGTGGCGGAGGGCAGCAAGGAGTCTGGGACTGTGTCACTGAGAAAGGAATGTAACCTCACAGACCTGGACAAAAAGTACTTCAGCTCGTTTCTTTCCCACAAGCATGCCCTCCACAGAAGAAAGCAACCGACGCCCAAGCAGAAATAAAGAAGAGGATAGATGCCCAGCATTTATTCCTTTGGTTCAGGAATGGCAAGGGATTTAGCAGATGGCTTGCACACTTTGGAAATTTGCCACATGAACCTAGGCAAGACACTTACCACCGCAAGTCACTTAACTTGCTTGCAGAGGGAGATAGATGATTGTTCCAAATGGAAACAGCTGGATAACTTTTCCCAGCACTGTGCTAAGTACTCTTTCAATGCAGCAACTCGTTTAAATCTCCTAGAAACCCTGACAGGGAGGCTCCCGTTACCTGTGTAACTCTGTTGCATACCATTACAAGAGGTGACTTACGCAGTACTCTGTGCTGCAGTGTTGTGCCCATCAGTGGGCCACTTTGCCCATGCCGAACAGCAGAGCCCACCTCAGACTCGGTGGAAGAAGAGGATGTTTCCCTACACCCACTTGAAAGGCAAAGTCAGCATGGAATCCTGCCTTGAGGTCTCCTTGAAAGCTGCCCCACAAAGAATGCTGCTGCGGTTATGATTTAGAGGAGCTAAATGCAGAGGTGAGGGGGGTAAATCCCAGCCATCTGCTCACCTGTGCAGACACTGGGTGCTACTTCCCTCTTGCTCGCGTCCCTTCTCAGAGGTTCATCCTTCAGGTTGGAGTCCATCTCCTGCACCAGGGGGCCCCTCTCTCCTGCATCCTGTGGATTAGAATCTGTTCCTCTTTCTTCTGGATCCCCTTCCCTGTCCTCGGTGTTCTCCAAATCAGACCCCATCTCTCTGTCTTCTGAATCCCGGTGTTCACACACACCCTGATTTTCTTCTTGTTCCATCTGGGAAGAAAAAGGCAAGGGAGGTGATCAAGGATCCTTGCTCCCGATAAAATACACAGGAAGAGAATTCACACCAACCAGGATTCGTCCCACCATGCCTGGCTTTGACTTCCACATCCAATCAAATGTCTGCAGAGTTGAAAGACCCAGGTGACAAACCTGTACTCCCCAGCCTAATGTCAACAACTGGGTGTGAGGGGGTGAGGTGCTTGTTGTCGGAAGAAGGGAAGCAACATTATTCTGAGGGTCCCACATGCCAATATTCATTGGACCCAAGTTCGACCTGCTTCTGTCTATGAAATAGATGTCTATTAGCATGGGTCTGCAGTTTAACAGTGAGGTGAGTATGCCAATTTTTACGGTAGAAAACATAAAGAAGGACCCCATAGCCTAAGTCTCCTCAACCTCCGAGCAGTACAGTGATGATTAAACCCAATTTTGCTGTCTCAAAGTCCTACAATTTGTTTACTCTTACTAAGCTTGCCCTCCACAAGCTCCTAACAGTCTCTCAAGTGTTTTAGCTAGTTTTGAGAAGGCATAAATGGAGCCAAAAGAAAAGTACATTCAAGACACAAGAACACTAGAAGCACGATGATGAAGGGAAAGGGGTCTGTAGCCAGTGAAAGAGTCTCAGGGCCTCGTTGGTTTTCTGGCTAATCCTGCCTAGGAGTTAAAACATTACTGGAGGAACTGAGTGGGGGGGGGGGGGCGG